CGTCTGTAGAGTTTATTTCAGTAAAACTGTTTACTTACCATTTCACGAATCAAAGTATTAAGTAGCTTGAGAAAATCATATTAATCTTTATACCCGTACATATGGCTATAAATATTTATAATTTTAAAAATTGTTTTTAAATAAACATTTTTTACCTACCAACTAAAGATACAGAGTAACTACAGAAGCAACACAAGACTACATTCCCACAACTAAAAAAATAACTGCCTCATATTCCACTGACTTCTACCTCCAGGAAGTGAGGACAGCAGAGTGTGCGTTTAATCACTGTCTAACACTTAGCGGTCTGCAGAAGCTGTGCATTAGCCCTGCTCCTTTGACCCAAAAGAACAGCAAGCAAGTAAAAAAGAAGAAATGTTACCAAAGGTCATGCGTATCTAAATCGCTAAAACTCTGGGCCGGCGCGCGGGTGGCTCAAGCCTGTACAATCCCAGCACTATTGGTGAGGCCGAGACCAGCAGATCACGAGGCTCAGGATTCGAGACCATCCCTGGCCTAACATGGTGAAACCCCGGTCTCTCTAAAAAATACAAAACAGCCGGCGCGACGGTGGTGGCGCCTGTAGACTCCCATAACACAAAAACACTGAGGACAGGGGAATGGCGTTAGAACAACAAACGGCGAGGAAAAACATATAGCAGTGGAAAACCATCCAAACACACACTGCACTCAGCCTGGGCGCCAAAGCGAGACTCCATCTCAAAAAAAAAAATTGTTAAACTTAATCAGGAAAACGTGGCTATTTCAACACCATAAAATTAAATAATAATACATCTTTCGCCCTTTTAATTGTAAGATTAAATTGTAATGAAATCAATATAACAGATTCTCAGTCTGCCTACTCCATTGTTCCTTACAACAAGGCCAAATGAAGAACTTTAATGCTCATGTGCAATAATAGAATCTTAGGTTTTTATTGTAGAAAAAATAAACAGATTTCCCTCCCCCATCACAGCGCTCTCAAAGAAATGAGGCAATAAAGGGAAAAATGCAACAATCCTAAAGTCATAAACAAAAGTGACTTTCTCACAACAATTCTACACAACAAAAACAAAAAAAGTGCTCTCAGGTTTGAACAACACCACATACAACACAGATGGGCAAAAGCTATAAGGAACACACATCTCAGTTACAAGTTTCAAGTTCTTTAAAAAAAAAAAAAAAAACCAAACCTTTCCTCCAGGGAAAGCCCATGTGATCGATTACCGAATTGAATTATACAGTTCCACTTCAACTAGTCTAAAATTGATGTGCTTAGCCAAAACCTTGAAAAATAGAATTAACCAGTTTTTTACAGTACCATAGCAGCCAGTCTATTATACAGAAACACCACCTGTCCTTTACATTAGAGTACTTGCCCCAGTTGTCTTTGTAAGTCTGAAGCAACACACTGTTCATAGTAAATTTTAGTAGATAAATATATGAGGACTAATTGAAAAGTCTCTTTAAGAAAATATCTTAGTCCTTTGTATATCAAATCAGAATCTAATAGGTAAAATAATATACATTATTTTCAAATATACAAATTATGTGCTAAAGTAAAAAAAATAAAATGTCCTTTAGTTCAAGCCAAACTTCTGCCGGTGCCACTTCAGTGGGCACGTGCGCTAGGAGATGGGTCCTCCATGCCGAGAGTCACTCCTGCCGGCTTCTGCAAGAGAACGACACAAGCTACTCCATCAGGAGAAGAGGGCAGCATATTTCGAGCTTCAACTACACAAACACAGTTACTCACTTGGAGATAATTCAAGATGGTAAACAGAAAACTTTTTTCTTTTTTTTGAGATGGAGTCTCACTCTGTTGCCCAGGCTGGAGTGCAATGGCGCCGTCTCGGCTCACTGCAACCTCCACCTCCCAGGTTCAAGCAATTCTCCTGCCTCAGCCTCCTGGGTAGCTAGGATTACAGGCGCCCACCACCACACTCAGTGATCTTTTGCATTTTTAGTAGAGATGAGGTTTCACCATGTTGGCCAGGCTAGTCTCGAACTCCTAACCTCAGGTGATCCACCCACCTCAGCCTCGTAAAGTGGAGAAAACACCTTCTCCAGGGTCTACCATTACATGCAGGATTAGAGGCATGAGCCACCATGCCTGGCTAACAGAAAATTTTAAATAAAACATATATGGAAAACTGATAACCCATTGATAGTCAACAAGAAAAACTGGTAAACATCTTTGTCATATGAAGAGTTTTCTAGCATTAGCCTAGCCAACATTAATCTCATCAGAAGATCAGTCTTTAAAGACAGTCAGAGATGGTGGTACCAGAAGATGTTCCCAAAAGTTGAACAAGTAGCTAAGGTGATGGTGACGCTGCCACCAATGAAAATAGCCAGTATTTATATTGACCCTAAGAGGTAGAGATTAACACGTCACCAGCCCTGGTGTATAGATGGCACGGAAGAGGAGGAGCTGGTACTGAAATCCAGACAGTTGCTATTACTAGGTATACAAAAATCACTCCACACAAAAGGCTCTTAGAATAGAATACTTCCTTAAAGATAGCAGTAGAACCCACTACTTTTTATTCTGCCAATTTAAAGTTTCTCTTTTGAGACAGGGTCTGTCTCTCTCACCCAGGCTGGAGTGCAGTGACATGACCACGGCCATGGCTCACTGCATCCTTGATCTGCTGGGTTCAAGTGATCCTCCTACCTCAGCTTCCCAGACAGCTGGGACTACAGGCACATGCCACTATTCTATGCCCTGCTAATGTTTTGTAGAGACAGGGTTTCTGTACGTTCCCCAGGCTGGCCTCATGCGATGTAATCTGCTCCCACCCCACCTCCAAAAGTGCTAGGATTATAATTGTGTGCCACCATGTCCAGCCTAAAGTTTCTATTAAATGGTGAAATAACGTAAGTAATCTCAAAATGTTTCCTCTTGCTTTATAAATATAAAATGTGTATTTACTGTTTAAATTGACAAAAACTGCATATATTTATGGTATACAACATGATGTTCTGAAACATGTATACATTGTGGAATGGCTAAATCACACTAATTCATGTGCATTACCTGACATATTTATTCAAAGTGAGAACATTTAAAATCTACTCTTTGGGCATCTTTCAAGAATACTATGCATTGTTATGAACTGTAGTCACCATGCTGTATAATGGAGTTCTTGAACTTACTCCTAACTGATACTTTGCACCTTTTGATCAGTATCTCTCCAATCCCCCCCACACCCAATCAAATATTTTGCAATCCCCCACCCAACCAAATATTTTACACTCCCTTCAAGGAGGTGAAGTAGGTGGAGAGTGACGTAACTGGACAGTGGAAGGTGCACTTCCGCAGGAAAACACCTTCTCCAGGGTCTACCATAGTAACTTCCACACTCATTTCCTAGTTGCTCCTAAGAGTCTAGTAAATGTTTTCTCAACTATAAGTGAAACTACATTTTATTCTGGAGGTATTAATGCCTGATTTTTCTAATTTAGTGTTTTTCAATTTATATTGTTACCGTTACAAGGCTGAAAGAACATTAACAGATAAAGTCAACTTGCTGATGCACAATACTTGGGAATTTAAAAAAAGGACAAAGAGAGAAAAACAGAATGTGAGCCCCACATGGGGTTGGGTGGGGAATGGGGGAAACTGGCTGCTTCAGAAGGTATCTGACATTCTGCTGCTTTGGAAACCTAGCTGCTGCTTCCACCTTCTTTATTTCTACCCATGATTTCAAATTGTATTATCTTTGTTCTAAGAGGGCAGTTCAGGACAGCCAATGGTAAACTGTAATGCACTGCAAGTGAACAAGGTAGCAAGAATGCAGAAAACTCTGGAGGCTGCTCTTGAAGGACATTTAGTCAGAATAAGAGTCTTAGTATCTCCAGCGTGCTCATGTACTAGAGAAGGCAAAGTTAGTTCTCCTTCTGGAGTTGGAAGGCAATGGCAGAATCACACAGGTATGCATTCTGGCTCCATATAAAGACATTCCTAAAAATAAGAGCCATTTACCGACAGAACATGCTGCTTTGTAAGGTGGCCCAGTCTTAGCTGGAGAGCTGGTTAGGAGAATGCCTACACCAATCAATCGCTACAATTTTATAATTCTCCGAAATCTATTCTCCTTTTTTCTTCCACAATGCATTCTTTTCTTCCTCTGGTGCTGTTAATACTTACATTGTAATATTTCTACCGGTTTTTGCCTCACGGATCCTAAATGTGCCACAAAGAAACTGACTTAGTTTCAATCTTACTGCTTTGGAAAAATACGCTTCCTCTTCTAGGATGACAAA